CCCCCTGTCCCGCCCCGTCCCGCCCGGGCTGCCCGGCTCCCACAGGCCCCCCTCCGCTGTCCGCGTTCCTATGGACAGACGCACAGACACCTGCAGGTGGGTGAGAGCTCGCGCGCGGGTCGGGGACGTGCGCGCCGACACGGCGACCCGGCCCGAGGAGTCCCTTTGTGTGGGGGGCGGCCGCGCTGGGGTCCGCTCAGTCTCCCCCTCGGCGGCCGCGCTATGACCCGGCTGAACCCTCCTTTTGTCTCCTGCGGGAGGGAGGGTGGGAAGGCCGAGTCAGGGCAGAGACCAGGGCGGCGGGACGCCGCCGGCGACGGGCTTGGGGGCGTGCGGGGCGGAGACCCCAAGCGGCGGAACGGGCTCCGCGAGCGAGCTCCCGTGGCCCCCGCTCCGGTCCGCCTCCCCGGGGCCGGCCCGCTGCCCAGCATCCCCCGTCGCCACGGCGGCCGCAGGCGCGCTGCGTGGGTCCGGCTTGCCTGCTCCTGCTCTTGGGGCTGTTTGAGGGGGGAAAGGAGGGCGGGAAGGAGAAAGAAAAGATCTGCCCTCTTAGTTTCCAAGTCTTGTGATGGTTGTGGAGAGAGGGAGAGCGGCGGCTGAGGGTTTTGCCGGACTCGTGTCCTTCGCGGGAGGCACGCTGAGGTGCGTTTGGGGCGTGTGTGAAGGAACGTGCATTGCTTCGGTCCCTTATTTATTGTTTCTAACGGAGGAGGGCTTTCTCCGAAAGGCTCTTCCCCCGCCCCCCCGCCCCCATCTGAGGCTGCGCACAGTGATTTGTGTTTGTTATCAAATACATCGAGAAATGTATTTCCCTGGGTAGAAGGAGGTTGGGCTGACCGAAATCAAATCAAAATCAAACCAAAATCAGAGAATGGTTGTGGTTTTCGAAAGGCTCTTTTGCATTTTTATTCTTTTTAAGATTAAGATAGAGACTTAAAGCCAAGAAATAGAAGATGAACGTGGATGTGACTTTTACAAATTTTTACATATGTGTATTTTAAAGTTTGGGGGTAAAGTTTTGTTATGTCCCAGACTCCTTAGAATTAGCATGGCAGAATCTTCTACCTATTAAACAGTTAACGAGCGAGTCAAGTGGTGAACTGCTTCCCTAGTGGAGGTTAAGTTGGATAGCAGTAAACAATTATCTAGCTTTCCGTTCAGGCTGAAACCTTTATTTTTGCTCATTTTGATATAGAAGATCTTTCACAACACGTGAGGAGAACGTGAATGTTGGAATTGATATTTACCTCAGTGATTGTCCTTTTCCTATTTTTTTATATGTATTCATGTATTGTCTGTACGTAACCCAACAATTGGGTTGTATATTAGGGGATATACAGTATTTTGAAAAGTACCGTAGGTGATATTTATGATTTATATTATTTACCTGGTCACGTTTTTTATAAAAGATTGCTATATATTTGCAGGTACTTAAATAATAAATGAAGTTGAATGAGCACCCGGAAAATTAATTTTACAGATTCAGATTTTTAATGCAGGTACAAATTTGTCTCTGTATTAATCTCAATCTGCTGCTCACTTTTGGAGAGTTTTATTTATTTTTGCCTATTGTGTGAGAATCCATATTGACAAACTTAAATCTCACAGTTACCAACATATAACTGCTTGGGGGCCAGTTATATGTACAGCTATTTGTAGAAAATGGAGACTTTCTTAAAAAGATTTTAAAAAGCTTTATCCAAACTTGATGGGAAAACATGGTGGAAAATATTTAATAATTTTCATCAAGATGTAGAAATTCATCAGAAAACAATATACAATTTAATGCAGTTTTTAATTAGGTAAGCTGATTTTTGTCACTATGAAAAGGAGATAGGTATGCTTAAAATAGTGTCTTTTTCTAGGAGACAATTTATCCTAGATTCATGTCCTAGTTACATTGACAGATTATTATTGTATGCCTAATTTAGTAAATGCCTGGAGTGTGCATTTTTGTACACTTAAAACCTAGGAGAGGTAACATTTAACAGTGGTCATGCTAACCTTTTTGAGTTGATCAAATTTTATTAGTTCCTGTTCTGACTTCTGGTCTAGATTAGATAAATGAATTTAAACCCTACACAAAGGCACAGACTTCAGTGCCAGTTGGTGGAAGGCCGGTGAGCAAGGTTCCTCTTTTCCATTAAGGATGGCCCAAAGAGGCAAGGTATTGAAATTGGTTCAGGCTTTATCCTGAATGGTGGAATGGAGTTCTAAAACAGACCTCGAGCTTCAGCTCTTACATACACACTCTTCATCAGCTCTTAGAAGTATTAAAAAAGATAAGCTAACAAATTGAATTGCTTGTTTATGTATTTATTTACAAGACTGTCAGTGATAAAGTTTAACAAAGGGTCACTGTGTAAACTAAACAGTAAGAGTGTTGTGGCCTGTGTTGAGAATTGCTTGGTAGAGTTGTAGTTGTGTCTAATAGTTTTCTGGGATTGGCAGTGTAGTGTCTTTATGTGGACTGGCTGAAAGATAACACCTATTTTTTGTTGTTGTTTCTTGAATAAATGAGTAGATATTAATTTTCTGTTTTTTACATAATTAACAATAATATTTTAGTGTAATCAGAGGCATTCCAGAGACCCTTACATGTTTTCAACTGATTTCCCTTCTGGTACATTGTTGTTTAGGAAGGCATATAAATTATTTTTCACTTTTCATGGTTGACATTTTTATTTCTGCTGCTATTGATATTACAACAAATAAATGCTACTTTTAGAAATTTTGATTTTGTGCAGTCAAAAAGTTGGGTTTGAAATATAGCTCAGCAGTATAAACTGACATTTACCAGTTTCATTTTTTTGTTTCTTTTTAAACAACACTAAGCTGTACACAGTTAAATTTGATAGGCTTAAAAATCTATAGACTTTTCTAGCCTTTTCCTGTTTGGTAGTTATCAATGTGGTACCATTAAAGGAAACTCAAATGGCCACTTTAAGTTACCTAGAACCCTCAAATGACTAGTATTATCTTTAGTAATAGCCAAATACAAAGCTGAAAAGAACAGTTTTATTCTTTATAATAGATCCATGAGTTTCCAGTCCTTCTTTTCCATGCAGTTTTTTGTAGCCTGTTGGGGAAACAGGTTTGACTGTGAGAGGGGTGGACAGTGACCTCTCATTATAGCGTTTATGGTCCTGCATTCTTTAAGAACAGCACAAATCCTTGCTGCTCGCCAGAAAATGTAGACTTCATTCTTGGATTAATATTCTGCCACCAGATGTATGAGGTTGGCTCTAAAGAAGCTTTTTCTCTTAAATACTGTCAAAAATAGAGAAACTGAAGATTGGAGAGAAGCCATTTATTTTGAACAGCTTATTTTCTGACAGTTTGTGTTTGTAAAGAAACCTGTTCATAATATTTACTTTAAGAGATCTGCATAGTTGCAGGCAGAAGACCCACAGGTTTTATTTTATTTTATTTTTTTTAAAAGTTTCCGTTAAGCTTAACTCTTACATGATACTTCTTGACTTAGCTTCTGATTAGTTGATTTATGGACTTTATTTACCAGCATGATTGAGAATTCTTTTGCTGTGCTGAAATTGCACTCTGCCTGTGCTCTGGTCTGTTTCCTAGGTAACAAATGCACTGCATAGATTCCATAATGAGGACTGTGGTTGGCTAGTTACAGTGTAAATTTTGTTGTTTGGTAAAGCTTAGTCTCAAATTCAAATAAAGGTCAAGAAACCAGAAGTACTGAAAATGCACATTTTTGAATTTTATTTTGTATCCACTGTCAACAAAGTTTAATACACTTTGCTGGAGAAAGGGAAATTATGCAGCAGTGTTTAAATTTGTTTTGCAAAGTCTTAACACTTAAACAGTTGGAAAGCTCTTTGACTTTTTTATATTGGTAATAACAATGGCTCTACTGACAAAGAAGATGTGTTTCCGAAACACTTTATCACACTTAAAGGAATATAAAAAGAAAGGGATGTAGTCTAGGACATTAGTAATTGGCCCTTTTGTACTGAAAGAAAAACGACATCATATGTCTCAAAAGATAAATTGTGCAACTTGGTGTGAAATACAAATTTTTAAAAACTTTAAGAAGGCATTGAAATGCTTAAGAAACTTTTAGAAACATTAAGTCTTGCCATAAAATTATGCATTTTTACTCTAGCATTTCCCCCTCTGATCTGCCTGAATTTTGGCTGGCCCAGCCCCAGGGAGCCCCTCTCTCTTAGAGAATAGCTTTCCCTGCCACCTTCCTCTCCTCTTGAAATCTATGGCCTCTGTAGCTCTAGATGCACAGCAAGAAGTAATATGTGTGCAATTTTTAGTAGTTATTACCTGTTCATTTTAAAAAATACTTGTAAACAATCAGAATTCCATTAATACCTACTTTCTAATATTTTTTTGTTTGATGCTTGAAAATATTTCTCCTTTGTTAATCATCAAGGATTTAGTTAGCTGAAATATTTTTTTAAATTCTTTTAATTCTAGAGAATTATCCAGAGTTGTCTCTGTTACTTTTCCTTGCTTGGATGGATTGGTTTTGGATTATTTATTTCCCTTTTTAGTTTTAATTTCAAGAATAGGACATATCTTGGTTGGATTCTGTCTTCTTGGTTTTCCTCAAAACTAACACTGCTTTAACCATATCTGTCCTTTTCTAATTGCAAATACTGTGTCCCTTCAGTTTTACCTTGTAAATATTTTCCTTATAAATATTTACTATTTAAAATTTTTTTATCATTGCAATATTTAAGGCATAATCACCACATATCAAAAGCTACACTTTTCTATCATGAGACCTCATACTTCTGCGGTAGAGTTAACAGTATCCTAACCCAGCTAGGATTACTTTGCAAGGGCTGCCATAAAAGGTGTGACTGGCCTCTCTCCTTGTCTTGTAGATGGCTATCTTCCTCAGGTGTCTTCACGTGGTCTTTCCTATGTGTCTGCTGTGTCCAAATCTCCTCTTCTTATAAGGACATCAGTCCATATCCTTAGGACTCACCCACATGACCTCATTTTACTTCAATTAATTACCTTTTTAAAAGTGCTATCTTCAAATATAGTCATATTCTGAAGTATTGGGTGTAAGGACTATAAATTTGGGGGAACACAATTCAGCCCATAACACAGCCCATTGTCTTTCATACATGCATATACTTTACTCCATTGGTGTAATTTTGTAGCAGTTTCACCTTTTATGTCTTTTTTTTTTTACTCTCTTGGCAGTTTGTCACTTGAGTACAAGGCCTAACACACAGCAATATGATCAACTCTTTATGCCATAAAAATAACTAAAGTGGGTAGGTAAAGGCCTTATTTTGTTTGTATTCACTCTTCATATTTATTGTTTTTAAATGCTGTGTTTTGAATAAAGTGGAAAATTTTTAGTAACTGGTATGGAATACAAGAGAATATCAATGTGGCCAAATTCAGTGGAATTGCCAATGCTCTTATTTCTTATGAATTCTGAGGACATGTTTATTTTGGTGCTGTTTTTCAGATATTGGTCTTGCTGCTTGCATGGTAAGTTACACACCATCCTGGTCATTTCACACATTCCTTGGCTGATGACCCCTGAACCTAATATCCAGTCATGCCCTTGCTCCTGAAATCTAGATGTACGCAGCTACTAACTAGACATAGTCACTTGATATTCCACAAACAGTTCATATTTAACACGCCCAGCACTTGACTTATCTTTCTCTTCAAATCTGTCTTTTATTTTTTATTGTAGTCCTTAGGATAGCGAATGGTATTGCCTTACATCCATTTTCCCAGTCCAGAAATTTAGGAGTTATCTGTGACTCCTTCTTTATTCTCAGTCCCCATCTTCTATATATAATCAAGCCTCTAGACCAGTCAATTTCTGCTCCCCAAGATTCCTCAGTTCTGTCTGTTTGCCCCATGGAAATCACATATGATTGTCACCTTTGCCCATCACTGGTCTTGGTTCTGCAGTTAAATATATTCAGTGTACAACACAAGTCCTTATGCTAAGGCTTCTGTAATCATCATTTAATAGACTGAAGCTCATTAAATCCTCATGAATGGCTCGTGTGAATAATATCTGCTGTCTTTCATATTTAAAACTGTTCAGGGCCGGCCGAGTGGCGCATTGGTTAAGAGCTGGCTTGGGATGCCAGAGGGCCCCGGTTTGGATCCCACAGATGAGGGCCAGTGACACTGCCCTCTACAGCTAAACTTGGAGCTGGGCTGCCATGAGTCCCCAGTGACGGCGTAGGCTGCAGCCCCTGCTGCAGTGATTTGCCATGGGCTACCGTGTGTAGCCAGCAGCCGCCGTGAGTGGCCGTCCAGAAGCCGGTGACTGATCTGCCTCGCCTGGAAAGAGCGCAATGATGGTACCAACTTGGGCCAGTGAAGCAACGCCCTCCACAACTAGACTGAAGAACAAAAGGACAGCAACTTGTCTGTTCCCCTTCCCCCAATTCCCCAGTGCTGTTCCCATCCCCCAATTCCCCAATTTAAAAAAAAAATACCTTAAAAAAAACAACAACTGTTCATTTGTGGCTTTTATACTTGAATGTCACTTTGATGGAATACAAATACTTGGCTCACATTTTCTTTGCTCAAGTATCTTAAATGTTACTCTGGTGTAGGGTTTGGCAAATCTTTTCTGTAAAAGGCCAAATGGTAATTATTTTAGGCTTTGTGGGCCATAGATCACTGTCACAATTATTTATGCCACTGCAGTGTTAAAGCAGCCATAGAGAGTATCTAAATGAATGAGCATGACTGTGTTCTAATATAACTTTATTTACAAAACCAGATAGTGGGCTGGATTTGGTCCACAAGCCATTGTTTGCTAAGTCTTATCTACTCTATTGTATTCTGGTAACAAGTGTTGTCAGAGTCTAATACCAATATGATTTTCTTTCTTTTTAAAATGACCTTTGTGTGTGTGCCTAGATGCCTAAAGGACTTTTTCTTTATCTTTAAAGGCCAATAATTTTATTAGAATATGTCTTAAGTGTTGGCTGTTCTCTGTTAGTTTTTCCATATACACAGTGTGTATTTTATTATGTTAGCTCAAAATAAATATTTTTATCAATTATAGATTTTAGTATTTATTGTTTCATTGTTTTAATTTTCTTCTTTGAGATTTCCTGTTACATATATATGTTGTATCTTCTTTGCTTGTCTTTTATATCTATATCTTTATATTCTTTTTATCTTATTTAAGTTTACCTCCTGGACAAAACTTAAGATCTTCATCTTTGGGGGGAAATGTTTCCCACATGTGGTTTAAGTAAAGGTGGCAAAAAAATTCAGTTACTTTTAAAAATCTGTCTAAGGAATCATTTTCTGGCATCTGGATGAACCCAACCAATTTGACAGACTATATCAAGAGCCATAAATATATTCATATCCATTTATCCAGTAATTCTAATTGAAAAGATAGAAAAAGATACATACACAAAAACCTTCAGTGAAGCAGAGATCAGGGACCAATGGCTAAATCTGGACTGCTGCAGCCCAAATCCAGCTACAACCATTCTTTGTAGCTGCTTTTGTGCTATAGTGGCAGAATTTAGTTGTTACAGAAACTTTGCAACGCAGAAATACTTTCTGAGCCTTACCAGAAAAAATTTGCTGACTCTACATTAGAGTATTATGTGGACTAGTGAAAAGTTGGCAATAACCAGTATATCCTTCAATAGGGGAATTATGAGATAAATCCTGGTGTAAGCACTTGGTGGAATAGGATAGAGCCATTGAAAATGATTATAGCGATTATTCATCCAGTAAATATTTATTGAGCATTTGCTATGCATTAGGTACTTTTCTGGGTGCTGGGAAATCAGGAAAGACAAAAATTCCTGCTGCCATAGAACTTTAATTTTAGTAGAGGAGATAGAGAATAAACAAGATAAATACATAAAATAATATGTAAGGGGTAAGTGCTGAGGTGAAAAAAAGCAGGCAAGGGAAATATGAAATATTTCAGGGTGAGGGCTTGACAATTTAGATTGCCAAAGAAGGCCTCACTGAGAAAATGACTTTTGAGTAAGGACTTAAAATACATGAAGGAAGGACTTTAAAAAGGTACTTTACATGCCGGTGGTTGGAGGAAGAGTATTTGAGGCAGAAGGAACAGAAACTACAAAGGGCTGACTAATGCATTTGCAGATTTTGTTACCTGTGGGGGGTGTCCTGGAACCAACCCCCTGTGGATACCGAGGGACACGCGTATTATTATACCTCAGAGGGTTGCTGTGAGGATGAAATGAATGCATGTGGATAGAGTAGGCACACAGAAGAAACTATTATCGAAGTTTAAATATCTAGAAGCGAAAGTGTTTGAATGCTGGATACCAGAGAAAGTTGAGTTTAACAAATATTTGTTGAAAGTTTTATGCGCCTGTCTACTTTGATGTCATGGGTCACACATAGTAATTTATTAAGAACATTTTATTTTATTTTATTTATTGTTAGTTTCAGGTGTACAGAACAATGCAATAGTTATCCTTTTTACCCTTCACACAGAAACAACCCCCCTCCCCCATCTACTGCCCTCCCACCCCCGATATCATGCTTATCTATTACAATTCCTTTGACTCCATTCCCACTCTCTACTCCACGTCCCGTGACTATATGTATATATAATTATAGTTGACATACAGTATTATTCA